TCTTACTAGTCTCATTTTTGTATCGGTAGTAATTTCATGGCTTTTCCAAATTTTTGTTAATTTTGCCATAGCGCTTTTTGCGATTGCTGACCGCCGCTTTATTTCTTCAGTACAGCCTCCTTTGTTGGTTATTAATGAGCCCAGATACACAAATTTATCTACAACAGCGATATTGTTTATCCTAACCAGATGATTTTGATTGTTGTTAGCTCTGTCAATTATCATGATTCTCGTTTTATCCCTGTTTATTTTAAGGCCCATCGATAAGGTTACGTCTTCTATCCGTTGTAGCAGGTGAATCAATTCAGTTTCAGAACTAGCGAGGATAGTAGTATCATCTGCATATCTCAAGTTGCAAATCTTCTTCCCGCCAATGGTGATGCCACCGTTCCAGTCCTCAGTAGCTTTCCGCATTATCCATTCACCATAGATGTTAAATAAAATTGGGCTTAGTATGCAGCCTTGTCTCACGCCCTTTGTGACCCTGAAACTGTCAGTTAGTTCCCCATTTATTCTAACTCTGGCATAATTGTTATTGTACAGGCTTTTAATTAGCAGTATCAGATGATTAGGGACTCCCATTTCAGACAAAACCTGCCACATTTTACTCCAGTTGACCAAATCGAAAGCTTTACTATAATCTATGAAGCACAAATATGTTGTGATGTTGAATTCTCTGGATTTTTCTACAATCTGCCGTACGTTTAAAATTTGTTCTCTAGTACCACGTCCTGGGACGAAACCTGCTTGTTCCTCCGCAATGTTAGGTAGTAAAAAGGGCTTTATCCTCTCGAGAATTATGTGTAAGAGTATCTTACTGCAATGCGCAATTAGAGCAATTGTGCGATAGTTGCTACATAAATCTTTCGCTCCCTTTTTATGTATGGGAATATATAGTGATTGTGTCCAGTCCTCAGGCCATTTACCTGTCTCCCACACTCTTTGACAAATTTGATGTATTATATCCACTCCAACGTCATCTAGTGCCCAAATCATTTCAATAGGTATGTTATCTGGACCGGCAGCTTTTTGACTTTTTTGCCTCATAATTGCTGCTTCAACTTCACTTTTGAGTACGTCAGGTTCCGTCGCAAAACTGGCATCTTCTTGTTGTGATGGGGCGTCTGTGCTTTCCTCCATCATCAGTCGTCCACAGTATTCTTTCCATCTGTGTAAAATATCTTTTTTAGAAGTGAGTAGAGTTCCGTTATCATCTTTGATAGCAGGGTAGTTTGGTGTAAAGGAACGTGTTATCTGCTTTATTTTTTTAAACATGTCTCTGGTCTCAGTTTTGGTTTTATGCCCTTCTATTTCCATGCAGATTTTGTTCAAGTGTGTGTTCTTGTCCTTTTTGCAGAGTCGTTTTATTTGACCGTTCAGCGCTTTATAGGCCTCTTTATCACTTTCACTGTTCAGTCCTGTGGCTTTTAAGCACTTCCTCTCCTGTATTTTAGTCCACGTGGAATCCGTTATCCATTGTTTCCTTCTTTCTTCTCTATCACTCTTAATATTTTTCGCAGCATTATACAATATCGATTTTGTTTTTGTCCATATGCTGTTTGAGGACTCGTCTGGATTTAATGATTGTTTGAGGTCACATAGCTTTTGCATTGCGGCTTTTTTGTACGGATCGTTATATCTTAGATGCCATTTAGTTGTTGTATTTCCTGTTTTTGGACTGTTTCTTAACTTCATGCGGAATTCAGCTGATAAAAATTGATGGTCGCTATTACAATCTTTTCCTGGATAGGTCTTAACATCCTTAACAGCGCTCCTCCAACGGGTTTTTACCAGTATAAAATCTATCTGATTTCTGTATCTATTTCCTGGTGATATCCAAGTGTATAGTCGTCTTGGGTGATGTTGAAAGCCTGTATTAGTAACAAACAGGTTGTTGTCTATACAAAAGTGTAGCAAGCGTTCTCCTCTGTCATTTCTTTGGCCAAGTCCATATAATCCGACGGTCTCTCGCAAGTAATGATCTTCTGTAGTTACACCAATTTTAGCGTTGAAATCGCCTACGACTGCTGTGATTTCTCTATTTGGAAGCTTCCTAAGCGTCTGCTCCAACGTACTATAAAATGTTTCGATTTCTTCATCGTGAGCTTCGCTTGTTGGGGCATATGTTTGTACCACATTAAGATTAACTGGACTGGCATTCATTCTGACAACAATTATCCGATCGCTGACGGTTATGTATTCTTTTACGGAGGTTTTAAAGGCATTATTTACTATCACTGCGACGCCATTCCGAGATTCGTTATCATTGCCGGAGAAATAAATATCATTGCCATTTTTTGACGTAAAATGTCCTTTATTTTTCCAGTGGGTTTCAGATAGACCTACAATGGCATAATTGTGGATCTCGTTTTCCACTACATCCAATTTTCCGGGTTCCAGCAATCCTCGAACATTCCACGTACCGATTTTAAGGGTGCTCCATATTTTTATGTTTATTCCAGACTCAGAGTTTCCATGGCGTGCCTGGTTTCTCACAACATCATGGCCGGTAGCCCATTTCACACCATCAGCCCCGGACGCTGATTGGCGCCAATTGCTAGTTGGATCGCTCGGCATACTGATATGTTTAGAGGTCATCTTCATGATAGTTCTTGGGGCAAAGTAACGCAGTGGGGCCCCACTTCCTTCTGCGTGGTAGAAAATAGACACCTGCATAAAAGAATAAAAAAGGAGATCAACTTAGCCAAAGAAAAATGGATGAGAGAAAGGTGCGACGAAATGGAGGATGTAATATCTAAACACGACTTATTTAAGGTGCATAAAAAACTAAAAGAAATGAGTAATATATTTAAAAAACGAAATCCCTCTGTACTTGTTGACACTAATAATAAAATTATTGTAAATGAGCAAGAAATAAGAAAATAATGGAAGCTGTGTATATCAGAGTTGTTTGAAGATGACAGGAATAATATTGCCAAATTATACCAAAACAGTACCAACGGCCCAGAAATTATGAAATGCGAAGTAGAACATGCTATAAATATTGATAAAATTAGAAAAGCTTGTGGTCCAGATCATACACTAACTGAGTTGCTGAAACTTATAGAGAATGATAACATACAAGTAGTAGTCTTTTTCTTCTTCTTAGTAGTAGTAAGACTTTTTAATTCAATATATAACACCGGAGTGATTCCCGCAGATTGGCTCAAATCCATCTTTATCGCAATATATAAAAAACACAATGCGAGAAAATGCTCAGAATATCGATTAATTAGCCCAATAAGCCACACTCTTAAAATTTTCCTCAATACACTTCACAACAGAATTAGACAAAATTGCGAAGAAGATTTTGAAGATACCCAATTTGGTTTTAGAAATGCTATGGGAACCAATGGGCACTTTTTGCGCTTATCATCCTATTACAAAAATGCCCTGACCAAAGAAAAGATGTATTTGCATGTTTCGTGGACTTCGAAAAGGCATTTGATAAAGTACAGCATGTAAAATTAATGCAAATACTAAATAATATCGGAATAGATGACAAGGATATTCGCGTCATTAAAAATTTGTAATATAATCAAACTGCTATCGTAAAAATTGGAGATAGCTACACCGATAAAATCCCCATACAACGAGGAGTCAGATAAGGTTGCATTTTGTCGCCAACATTGTTCAATGTTTACTTGGACCAGTTATTTAAAAAGGCACTTGAAAGTCAGCCATATGGAATAAAAATCAACCTGGAACTACTTAATGTGATTAGATATGCAGACGATACAGTAATTCTATCAGATAATATTGAAGGTCTTCAAATTCTGCTTGATCATATTCCCGAGGTAGGAGAGGAAATGGGCATTAAAATAAACTCAAACGAAACCAAATTGTTTGTGTTTAGTTGTGACCCACATCCCGATGCATAGCTTCAATTGAACGGAATCCAAGTTGAGAAAGTTCACAAAATGATCCAGACATAGAAATAAAACGTAGAATAGCAATGACTAAAACTACTTTAATGAAAATGGAGTCATTTCTTTGCAATAACCATCTCAGTGTAGAATTAAGGCAACGAATGGTTAAGTGCTATGTTTGGTCTGTACTTCTGTATAGTGCAGAAGTGTAGACGCTAAAAGTATCGATCATGAACAAAATTGAAGCATTGGAAATGTGGGTTGATAGACGAATGTTGAAGATACCTGGGACAGCAAGAAAAACTAAGGAAGAAGTAGTAAGGAGCGTCAACAAAGACAGAGAACTGTTAAACATCGAAAAATGTCTTATCTGGGACATATAGCAAGGGGAAGTTAATATAAAATTTTACAACTGATCTTTAAAGGTAAAATAGAGGGTCGTAGAGGTGTAGGAAGAAAACAAATTTCTTGGTTGACAAAAAATCGTGAATGGACTCACATACCAAATGCAGGACAATTATTCCATATTGCAGAAGATCGAGAAGCCTTCGCAATGGTGATCGCCAACGTCGGATAATTCTGATATAGGACGCGACGAAGAAGAACCACCTTTGTTGATACCTGATCTCTTTCCTTAATGTATGTAGACCTATCTGTCCTAGGCCTACCTTTTATCGTTTTTAAAAATGCCCTGATCAGTCCCAGGGCGAGACGAGTGTAATCCCTGTATAATCCTTATACTGTATCTGTTTTTAAAAATTTGTGTCTGGCTGTGTGGGTATTAACCCTAAAGCCAAAAAAATATCTGAAAAAGATTATTGAAAAAAACATTGATTTTGGCAACTTTTTTAACAGCTAGTAACGAAAAGAAAAAAAAATTAAAAAAATGAAATTATTATTTGCAGAAATATCTAAAAGTAATTAAATAAGAAAAATAGGATTATATACGATTTATCCTATTTAAAACAGATATCGCCTTGTCTATTACCTTTTATAGTGATATTGTAAGGCATTGCTAAAGCAGGCAATAAAATATTTCTAAATATAAAAAATAGACATTAGGTAGTACTAAAATAATCTTTGTAACTTTAAATAAATGGTTCTCTATTATTAAAGAATAGTAATTTTTACCTTCAATGTTGTGTTCTTCTTGGAACTTTTTAAACTCCTTAAAAACGCGTTCGTACAAATAGATTTCTCGATTAAAAATATCTTTAATGGGTGTAGCTTCTCTAAAACCCTTATTCGTATGAGATGACTTCATAATCAAATTCAAATTTTTTTCCTTGTCTTTGATGGTAATTGCAGTAAGAATTCCAAGAAAGTTGTCTCCTTTATTGGATCCAGAACTGGTTATTATTTCGTAGTCGGTGAATCCATTTTCACTAGCAATACGGTCTATTAACGTTCTATGTTCTTTAGCGATATCCATTTCGACGGATAACTTTAGTAAAAACTATGCACTCTTTAAATTAAAACGTTTATATAAAAGATAGCCATCCCAGACATTTTCTTTATCGATCTGTGATAATTTTTTAAAAATTATATATGTGTGAGATTAGTTAATCATTTAAGTCAACATTTGAAAAACTACTCCAATAGTCACAATAAATTCGCATTTATGAAATACTTAAATTAATTTTTTTACACATTTAAACAATAGTGTTACTACTTTAGATTATATTTGATTATTTATTTGATTTTTACTCCAAATAGTTGTATTATTCCAAATTATACCTATTATTAACCGCCAAATAGAGCACAACATTTTTCGTTAATTTTTTTTTGCTAATAAGTGGATTTGATGATTTACCAATACGTAAACATCTAATTGACAATGTGAGAAACATCGATTCCCTAAATCCAAACCGCAAACGAACATTGCCTGTCTTTGAGATTTGTTATTGGTCAGAACAGTACATTAAAGCCTTTAAACGATATTGTGGTTGCTTTAATGTGGTTAAAATGGTTGCTTTAATAATATTTCCAGTAATACCTTGAATGACCAAACGTGTGCCGTTGCATTTTCTAGGTGAATTCAAACTACGTAGCAGAATACTTGGTGAACAAATTTTCAAATGAAGATTGTGTGGTGGCATCTCTGGTATGTTCTGAGAATTTAAAAAATCTGTTGGATTAATTTGTAACGTTCTAACGAACATTAATTGGACATCAATCTATGACATGCCAACGAATATTCATTGGATGCCAATTTGTAACCCTTCGAGGCTCAATTTGTAACATCCCAACGTTGAGCTGTTGTTGTCAACTTGTAACCGCAAACCTTAGTTTGCTGCTACAACCTGACTAACATCACTAACAACGTTGGAGCGACAAATCGTTTCCTGTTAGGACCAATTTTTAACGCCATAACCCCTAATGTATCAATTGAAAATTGCTACATTAGACGTTATGCGAAACACTCCCTGGCTAGCTCACTCAGGACGTGAATATGGCCTACTCTGGAGCAACACACACAAACAAGTAAAAAGAAGAAACAATACACAAGATGAAAACGACTTCGTCTTCAACAATATTGGCGATTAATTTAAAAGATATCAGATCACCTCGTAACAATTGTTTAATCTGGAAGTTAATTTCGTCAGCATCAACATTTTTTGTCGCCGAAATTGCGTGCTTACTAAGCCAATTACGATTCAAGTAATTGTTCAGTATAGCCGGGAAAAAATAATTAATTTATGTTTGCTCTCAAAAAAGCGCAGAAATTATCTGGAAGTTTAAAACATTATGTATTTGGATGCAGTTTTATTTTACCGTTTCCAATATCCATCAAATATTTGGAAAACATTTGTTAGATCACTTTGCACTTGTACCCACACTTGTGTTAATGGTCAATCGAAATGTTTCGACATTCCCCCATAAATACAATTGTATTAAACAAACAGTAATCTCATTCGCACATGTAAAGAGAGAAATAACCAGTAATATTTGTTGGAAGTCACCAGAGAGTAGTACCACAGCACCACCGAAAAGTATGTCGTTACCGTATAAATCTTTGTTTTTTACCGTATTTTGATTTAATGCTTTGAGTGAATCTTTATGAGCCATATTACATTTATCCCAGATAATAACTTAACTTGTTTGCATCATTGCAACCATTCCACTTCTTTTTTGAATGTTACACATTGAATTTGGTTTGATATGAACGTCCAATCGCAGCTTGAGTACGGAATGTGCAGTTTACACATCATCTAACAATTTTCTAAATTACCAGTAATAAGTAATTTTAAATGTTCTGGTGGAGTGGTAAGAGGTGGTAACACAACTTTTCCTAATGAACAACAGATGCCAAGTGTTTCATTGTGAAACTTCAATGCCTGACAATATAGGCATACTGTGTCCATTGCACTCATAGCAATTCTAAAATACGCAAAATAATTAATGTCTGGTGCATATTCGAAATGCAGCTATAAACTGCTCATGTGCAGCTTTCGTTTTTAATACTTTCTGTCGTACACGTTGCTCACGATGTGCATGAGATCCTTGTGCACGGTTCTCTTCTTGCCTCATTCTATAATCTTCATTTATAAAAGTAGTTTATTTCCCGTACTGATTAGTGCTTGCAATTCATTTACAACGTGTGGCTTGGCTACGTGGATTGTTGAGGTTTAATTTTTTTCTGGGTTGCTATTAATGTTGTGATAAGGCTTAAAGATTTTTCTTTCAAAGGGATTTTCCTTTCAAAACATATTTTGTTTTCTTTCAGGTTCTTTGGTCAGGATCCACGTCTTACACCTATACATGAACACCGGTCTAATCACTGTTTTATATATTCTAATCTTTGATGTTCGTGTAAGGCTTTTAGATTTAACAGTATTGTGGAGGCTGTACATACATCTGTTTGCTGCCTGAATTCTTCCTTTAACACAACAGTTTGACTTTAACAGGACTTTTTAAGTAGTTCCCGTTTGCTTCTTGTTCATAACGTTGAAAAGGCTCTTTATAGTAGTTAAGCTGATCGAGTTGTGTCCAGTCTAAACCAATATGTTTGGTCAAAAGATTTCGCACATCACGCAGTTTCAAATTATTTACTTTGTAAGCATCAGGGATAAGTTTTTCTGAATTGATCATACTAATCTGTTTGCCTGTTCATGTCATATTTACAAAAGATCCAAAATCGTTTTTGTACTGAAGTTTAACTTGTAATAAAACATTTCCTGTCCTATATAGTTTTAAAATGTACCTTTTTCATTCATTAAACTGAAAATTCCACTGATTTAAAAACCTCTTAAACGCAGGCTTTCAATTATAAACACAACTTTGTTTCATAACAACGACCATAGAAAGTTCGGAAATAATTTTCCTGTATTCGTCAGATGTCGTTACTACTTCTCGTTTTCATAATTTTTTCTCAATTTGACCGAAAACACTATCTAATGGTAAGAATGAATGGCCAACTACAGGAAAAGCTTAAGTAATTTAACATTTGGTGGTGCGCTCTTGAGCGCCACCCATTTGCAGCATATATCAATCATTATCGAGTTTTTATTTTAGCCACTGCATCCATCGGCGATGAACGACTCAATGAAAGCCTGCAGAAAAAATTTCATTTGATCCTTTGCCAAACATGTCCTCAGTCCTTGAGAAATCTTCAACAACAGTAAAGATATAAAAATAAAGCTATCTTGGATAATGAGTACTTTGATTAGAAACTTTGGGGAGGACCAATTTTTTTTTGGCGGTCAAACGACAAAGTGACTAGGTCTTCTATGTTTTCTTGAAGAAATTGGAAAAATGCTTTCACTTGAAGTTTGTGGAGCCGTTTTTAGTCATTAGTTTATTCGTAAAAAACTGTCTAAGGAGCTGCATATGGTTAGTGCCGCGTCTGTTGTTATTAGTTCATTAAAAAAGTAAAAACAAAGGAAAAATAGGCGATGGTGGACGACGCATTTATTTAAAAGAAGAGCCCTACAAATGAAGTTCGATTTACTACTAGATTTGGCATTAGAACCTAATACTGGACAATTTCAAAATTTTGCATGTATGTTAGTAGAATACTTTGAACGTCTTTTAAATGATATAGGCCCCGTAATAAAGAAAAACGACACAGTCTTAAGAAAAGTCATATCTGTTAAGGAACGTTTACTGATAACATTAAGATTTCTGGCCACAGGGAACACTCTGTATTTTTTTGTCCCAAGAAATTTTGTTTTATTACCGCTTTAATGATGTACCACATTGGTATATTTATATACTAATTTTTATTTTCAACCGGCATCTCAAAAATCTTGGTAGCCCATTTTTGTTTGCAACGAAAAAGTAGCACACGTTCGGTAAAACCGCAATTCTTTATCTTCAATAACAACCAAAATAACTTATAACAGTGTCCGACTAGGGACACACAATAATTCTAAACAAAAGTACTGAAATGGGTTCCAATTTTAACAAAATTTGAACTAAAACAAAATACCAAACTTCAACAATGGCTTGGAAATGGAATCATAATATTCACCTTATACGTTTTGCAACGGTTCTCTCCCATTTTTTAGGTTGTCTTATTCACTTCTTTGTTTTTTGTTAGTGTGACAGGAGACGCATATTAACTTCCATGATTAACTCCCAAAACTAAAGACAAATTATAATAGCATGATGTGACGGCATATTTAACCATGTGTTAATCACATGGTTAAATATTATAATGAGATTATTGTGTTTGGTACGCACTCAGCTATAGAGCTATGATCATAAAAGTAACTTTTTACTATTATTTATATAAAGTTAAGACCGCTTCTTTTCCTTAAAAATAGTTTTATCTACCAGATAATAAAAAAACAGAGCAGGTGACGTCCCTAACTCAAAACAAGAAAAAGTGAAGATTGTTGCCTTTGATTTTGCATCCCTTACTTATGTGCCTTTAGTTGTTGATACCCTTTTTCTTACGTTTGTTATGAATGAAAATTATGTTTGCTATATTTTAATTGTCTGGTACGCAACTTAATCTTAGGCAGTTGGTTATCATTTTTGTGATTGTCGATTCTACTTCTTCTTCATAAAAACTTCTGGTATATCTTTTTGGTTATTGAAGTACTAAATCCACTTCTGAAGCCAGCATGCTCTCTCAGCTATGCAGCATCTAATGCGTTTGGTAATCTGTTTTTAACGATCTTTGTGAATATCTCGTATATGATTGGTAGTAGACTTATAGGTCTGTAATTTTTTGATAGCCTTTTTGGTACCTTTCTTATGAATGAGAATTTATTTTTTTCATAAAAGATAAAAAATTTAATATTTATTTACACATATTTTCTTTTTTAAAGAGTAGAGTTTACTTAATACATTATACTAAAAACACTGTAAAAGATTTTTGGAGTTTCAGCTGTTTTTCGGTTTTTATAAAATTTCAAAAAGTGGAGAATTTAACTTTTGCAGTTAGCCACTTTAAATATTCGTCAACTATTCGTGGTTTGTTATTTTGCAGACCTCTCGACAAAGACACACAACGAATGTTGCTGTGGACAAATATCCAATTATACATTAGCATTCTTGATATCCTGCGACAGCATAATAGGAGGTAGTATTTCAGATATCTATCCAGCACACAACTCATAGCTCGTCAATAAATTCAAAGAGAAATTG